CGCTCGCGCTCACGCTCACGCTCGCGCCCGCGGGGCGAGCGCACGGGAGCGACGCCAAGATAGAGGCTCGCCGGGCCGCTTCCCCAACGCAGGCGCGGTGGCCAAGTGGTAAGGCGTCGGTCTCGTAAACCGAAGATCACGGGTTCGAACCCCGTCCGTGCCTCACCTCTTTCCTCACGCGGGAGACTTTTTAGAGGCGGGTCCGTTCTCGAGAAAGGACGAAGGTCGGCTGCGCCTCCCCGACGTCCCATTTAGGCCGTCGCCCGGGGTAAACTGTTTTCACCCGGCTTGGTAGCACACGCCCCACCTTTGCCGCGGAAAGTGAAAGCTGCGTACCCTGGCTGTGCAGCGACGGCGACCGGCGCTCCGCTCTGCCCTGCAAGTGTGCCTGGCCCGCCGGGCAGGCCCGGGGGACGGAGCCCCAAGCTCCTCCGTGCCAACCCCAGGCCGTGGCCCGGCCCAGCCTCCAGAGCTACGGCTGCTGGCACCCGGCACCCTCAGCAGTTTTCTGAACACTGAGGTCCAGTATGATCCTCTCTAGTGCAAGAGCTGCGGCCACCCATGCCCCGCCCGCACCCAGAGGCAGCTCCGTCGGGCTCGCTGTGTCTACACCGACGCCCCGAGGCGCCGGCCTCGCCCCACTCCCGACACGAGCCGGTCTGCAAAATGGGCCTCGGGCGCGCGGAGCGGCCCGGCCAGGCTGGACACTAGCTCCCCGGCTCTTTCGCTGTCCACATCACCAAGGCGGCGCGAGTGCAGCTCGGGGTGTTCGCAGTACCCCCCCATGCCGCGGGGTCCGAAACCCAGCTTGGCTGAAACTGGGGGGACCTGAGGCGCCCAGAGTCCCAGCTGAAGGGAGGACAAATGAAGCTCCTACTGCATCTGGGGGCCTGGATTCTGGGGGCTCCTCAATAAGCCAGCAGGGGAGGCCGGCAGGAGGGTCAGGGCAAGGATCCCACCCCACCACCACCCCCAAAGCAGAAGTCCCTGGAGGGATGGTTAAAGTGCTCGCTGGGCCTCCCCGCAAATCCAGGGAGGGCCCCCTATTAACTTGTAAGTTCATATATAAAATTTTAAATTCCAGGGCTTCCCATGCCTCTGCCCTGGCTGGTGTTCGAATGGGGGTTCACACGCTACAGCTCCGGATGAGCCGCTGCACTTCTCAAGGGGCCTTCGGGGTGCACTGTCTCAGGGGGCCCTACCCCTACCTGAGTAGTGGAGTTACCCTTGTTTCCATACCAAAATCACAGTTGTTGCTGCTCTGGCAGAAAGTAGAGTGTTGAAAGGGTTCCTTCATTTCTTGGCCTGGAGACTTGAAATGTTTGGGTTTGCTACCAGGTAACTGTATTAGATGGGTAACCCCAGCCCCACCAACGCGGTAGGTAACCATTAGATCGCAGGCAAATTAAAATGATCCAGAATCAAGACAGAGAAATGCTTGTGGGCTCTCTTCCTTTCTGTAGGGTGCTGTACAGTGTTTTGTTTTCCAGGACGTGCCACAAAAGAATGTCTATGTTCTTCCCCATTAAAAATCCCAAAATAGGGCCCTCCCTGGTGGCGCAGGGGATTAAAGCGCAGCACTATGAAGCCAGACACAGCCCCTTCAGCACGAGTTCCATTCCAGGCCAGGGAGGTGACCCACGTGGCCTGGCAGACCTTTCCTGACCCGCCCGCTGCTTCCCTCAGCAGTTTACTTAGTCGGCCTGTTCTGCTCCCCGCTCTGTCTCTGGTGAATCCTCTCACCGCCCCTGCACCTCTGGCTTGGACCCCAGTTCTGTATGCACAAATAAATCCTCCTTTAAAAAAAATCCCAAAATAGTCCTTTCCTTCCCCATTAAATAAATCTCACTGAGGCTCAATGATTAATTGGTCTCATACCAGAAGGTACAAGAGAAGAAAGTGCCGAGTCTTTCCTGAGACTTGTATTTAGCGACACAGTTGTCTGGGGGGTGGGGGTGCACGGCCTTGAGAGGGGCTTCAAGGCCGGCTGGAGCCTGGGAACACAGAGGAGGAGGGCCCGGACAGAGGCAGGGGCAGCAAGCTCACACTCTAGCTCTCTGAAGAAAGGCCCCTCAGCCCTCACGTCCCAAGTGCCCAAGTGCCGGGAACAAGCTTCAGCCAAGCCCACATTGCTTTGGCCCTAACCTGCTTTCAGCCAATAAAACTCTTAACTCCTCGGTCTTCTCAACCCCCACCTCCCCCACAGCAGTGTAACCTCATTTCCTTTCTTAATAAGGGAGGTAGATCTGAGTGTGTCGCCTGCGTCCTTGCCGATCTATTTACAAATAAAGCTGATTTCTCCAATACCTGATATCATGTGATCTGTGCATGTCCAGTAGAGACCCCCTTTGGGGTAACAAGACCACCGTGCCCTGCAAGTAGGCCAGGCGCCGGCACCATGTCACTTGTCCTATTGTAGGGGCAGGGGGGAATCGCCCCATCCTTCTGGGTTCTTCCAGGCTGGCAAGTAGTCAGATATGACATAGACTAACAAGAGAAAACAGAAAACAAACAAAACAAAATACCCTTAATAATAGCATGGGTGGCCCTCCCTGGTGGCGCAGGGGGTTAAAGCACAGCACTGAGATGCTAAAGCCACTGCAGCAAAGAGTTTGAACCCCGCCCGCCCCGGGGGGGGGGGGGGGATGACCACATGGCGCGGCAGACCTCTCCTGTCTCCCCTCCTGTCTCCCCACTGCTCCCCTCAGCAGTGTACTTTGTCAGTTGGCCTGTTCTGCTCCCCATTCTGTCCCTGGTGAATCCTCTCACCACCCTGCGCCTCTGGCCTGTACCCCAGTTCTGTATGCACAAATAAATCTTAAAAAAAAAAAATAGCCTGGGTGCCTCCCAGAAATACTCTGACAAAAAGGCAGTGTCCCCCAGCCTTCGAGGCCTGCCCTTGATATAATCCTTTGTCCAGAGATGTACTCGAGGGGAGCAGATTTTGCTTCCCTGAGGTGCGGAGGCGCACCTGTCCATCCCTGCAGAGCAGGACAGAGCTCCTTTGTGACAGCACATTCTCATCCACCCCACCCGGGGCCCCTCCCCTACTCCACCCTACCCTTCTCTGCCTCAATGAGAGAGGTACTTTAGAAAAGGTGGTGTGTATTTCAGTAGGTCTGCCTGTTCCGCTCCCCACTCTTTCACCCCTACACCCCAGTGCTTGTATGCAGAAATAAAAATAAATATTTAAACAGAAAGACAAAGGCAGTTTACACAATGTGCTATAGTATACTAGTTATGCAAAAGAAAAAAAAAAGGCATGAAATAAGAGCACTTCACCATGTATAAATAAGTGCTGGCTGTTTTCATTTTTTGGTTTTTAAGCCTGGAAGGTTACACAGGAATCTCAAAACCAGAACCTCTGGTTGAAATCCTGTGATACCACAGAGCTGTAAAAATAGTTCAGTACAGGCTACAGAATTAGAAACTAGTGAGCAAATCCTGAATTGGGATCTGTTCACACACAAATGGGTAAAGTTGACTTTGTGTCCAAATAAGCAAGACATTTGATGTTGATTTAGGCCACATGTGTTCACGAATAGAGAAGGCCAGGTTTGGATTTCACAACCTCCGCAGGAAAGCATGCTTGAAGCCACCTAGAAGCTTGGGGGCCTGTGTTCTGTCAGGATCTGCTCCACGATCGCCCTCAGATACAAATAGCGAAAACAAAGTGCCTGGTCCTGGGGTTAGGAGAGAGGTCCATGAATCTAGGCAGGTCTCTGAGACCTTGGTGTAGAAAAAAAAAAAAAAAAAAAAAAAAAAAACCAGTGTTAAAATTATAGATATAATTGGTGTAGAAAAAAAAAAAAAAAAAGACCCTTGTGGGCAAGGTGACTCTCCGTGAAGAACATGAAGAACCGAGTTTTCTGGGAAAGAAGAAACAAACTCTTCGGAATCACCCCTCCCCCGTTACTCAAAGGTAGAGAACTCTGCAAGGATAGATCATGAATGACAGTCAGTGGCATCAAAAGGGCTCTTGAGGGCAGAGAAACCGGGATCCCAGTGTTGGCCGGGTGGGGGCTGTTTGTCTGCAGAAGCGGCGCGGGAGCAAATTCAGCGGCGTCGCCATGTGGCGGCAGGAAGAGCCGGCCGAGCCGTGCAGCCGGCCGAGCCGTGTAGGCCAACTGCCCGTCCACCCGCCAGGAACTGCTGGGACCTTAAGCCGGTCACTTAGCCTCTCTGTGCCCCAGCTTCCCCCTTTCTGAAGTGGAATGACGCAGTTCAGTCGCCCCTCTCGCAGAGTTCTGAGGGCAGCAGGGGTGGGCATCACAGGTGACTGCTTAAAATAAGTGACTGATCGGAAGCTGATAGTGAGATACAATTAAATGAGAAAAATGGGGTAGGCCCTGCTCTTTGAATTCTGTGTCACAGCTTTACTGCAGTGTACCTGGCGTGCCCAAATTGCACGCGCCCAGTGGATACAGTGGGTGCCATCACCAAACTCAAGGCACCCTCCGTCACCTCCAGGTGTTCTGCATCCCTTCTGTGTCTCTGAGGGGAACACTGAAAATGGTATCCGGCCTCTCAACAAACTTGTCCATACACGAGTAGAAGTGAGCCTTCAGCCACAGGGGCTTCAACTGCGTGGGTCCGTTTACACATGAATTTTCTTTTTCAAAAATGTAGTCATTTATGCATACAAGAGTTGGGGTGCAGGCCAGAGCTGGGGGCGGGGTGGAGGTGAGAGGATACACCAGAGACAGAGTGGAGAGCAGAGCAGGCAGACTGACCAAAACACACTGCTGAGGGGAGCAGCAGGGAGACAGGTGAGGTCTGCCGCGCCATGT